TATTCAATAGAATAAGTGTCAATGAATAAATAAAATATCAATCATGAAATGTTATTTGAACATTTTGTCAATTTTACGACTTATAATTTAACAGTATAATCGAGTATGCTATACAGCACCCGCAATAAATTACAATTTCACTGGAAGTTGTCAAATTCTTGCAAACTATAATAGGGTCTGCTCGCGAGAAGTTTTTTTGTATATTTTCTGAAGCTGTCAATACTATCGTAGCTATTTCTAAAATGAGACGGTAAGTGATTATACATTTTAACACCGTTATAGAAAATGGAGTCCTTCACAAGGGATGAAGAAAGCAATGGTAATTTAAAATTATTTTTAGATTTTAGGCGAGTGCTATGACACGAAGAAATATATTAAAATTTTGACCTATGTTTGTGTATAAGACACGCAGTTTCCATTACAAAGAGAGCCACAACTGTCAATATATTTTTTTCCGCAAATAACTGCCTACATGATATGCGCGGTCCTAGTTTGAACACATATCTAATGGCTCTCTTTTGCAGTTTAAGTACTGAATCTAGCAGAGTAGAGTTACATACCCCCCAGAAAGGAATGGCATATTTCAGTTGAGATTCAATTAATGCATGATATGCGTTCATAGCCGTGGCAATACCAAGTTCCCTTGAAATAATTCTCATTACATAGCACCCTGAGGAGATTTTATTCTTCAGTTGGTTGACATGTGCTTAAAACTTCAATTTACTGTCAATATATAGGCCCAAAAATTTTGTGCAGTCTTTATTTTCAATCTTCCCATTTTCTAGAGGCATATCTTCTAAAGTACATTTGAAAGTTAATATATTTGTTTGTTTTATATTAAAAGAGAGAAGATTCGAGTCGCACCAAGACTTGATTACATTAATATCTCTGCTTATCTTATTATTCAAATCTTCAACAGTTTTACCATGCCATAAAATGGTGGTGTCGTCAGCAAATAAGGTAATTTTTCCAGAAGTATTTATACACAGTGAATCATTGATATATACAAGAAAAAGAGTGGGTCTCAAAACCGATCCTTGTGGCACTCCATAATCTATATTAATATATTTTGAATTTATATCACTTTTTACGACTTGACTGCGCCCAGTTAGGTAGAATTCGAACCAATCCGCAGTAACTCCCTCACAGCCGTAGCAATGTAGTTTCCGAAAAAGTATTTTGTGGTCTACACAGTCAAAAGCCTTTTTTAGGTCACAAAATACTGCTGCAGCTACATCTCCGGCATTTATATCTGAATATACCTCATACAGGAAGAAAAAAATTGCATATTGGGTGTTCTTCTTAGCCTGAAATCCGAATTGATTTTCTTTGATGATTTTATGAGCAATAAGGAATTCATTGACCTTTTTTTCACTAGTTTTTCAATTATTTTTGCTAGGGTCGGTATAAGTGATATTGGACGATAGTTAGAAGGATCATCTAAGTTTTCGCCTTTGTGCAAGGGAATTATCACAGACTTTTTCAAGAAAGAAGGAAATTTACCGTTGCGAAACGAAAGATTAATTAATGCGACAAGAGTTTCAAGCGCTAGTCTTGGAAGATTCTGAAATATATTCATGGAGACGTCATCGTATCCAGATGATTTTTTATTCCTAGTACATGTGCAAATAAGATGTCAAAATCATATCTCTTGTCAATGCTGAAAAATTGGCAACCTTGTATGACGCCAGAATGTTTCCTTATGGAATGATTTTTTGTACAGAAGTCAAAATTCACCTTGGAGTGGAATATATAAATATACATAAAGTATGCTGCAAACTCGTTTATTTTGGTCAAAAACCCCAAAAGACATTTTTTGTTTAGAATGAAACAGGCTATCGGAAATAAATTTTTAAATGGTAAACAAATAATAAGACAAAAAGTTACATTGGAAATAAATTTTAGGGGTTGCGTTTTCCACCCCTTACAACCATGGGGTAAACCAAATAAATTTATGGCTAAGTGTCTTTTTGGTAGTACAAAACGTCAGGTTTATTTCAATATTGTAACTTTCTTAGTGCTTGTGAAAAAAAAATGTTATACAACTTTTATGTACCCTCTTTAAGGGGCTATATCTTAACAAGGGATGCTCCAATGAAATTTCTTTATATGAAAGATCCTATCTTTTTTTCGATGAGGAATCACCTCCTTAAATGTTTTACACTTATTTAGTTACACCCTGTATTAGCACGGGGATTGGAACGGGTGTGCAGTCGGAGACAAGAAAAATGAGAACTCTTTTTTCTGTTCAAGCTTTCGAGACTTTATTGACTCTTCTTTAGGAACTCTAGATGATAAGATGAAAATGTAACAATTGTCAAAATTTGTTGTACATTACAATTGACAAGACAATTGACAGTTGACTTGGACATGTCCCTTTCACAAGATGTATAAAAATTTTTAAAAAATTTATTTTACAACAATCTTATGTTACTAGTGCCATCCACATTTTATTATAATATTCTCAGTTTTAATCAGTTATCCAGTATCATGAGTGTTCATATATCATCACATTTTCAAAGTGTTTTAAGAAAACAATTCTTCTCATGCTTGCTTCATATACATAACCTCAACTTTCGTAACTAATGTACAACAAATTTTGACAATTGTTAAATTTTCATCTTATCATCTAGAGTTCCTGAAGAAGAGTCAATAAAGTCTCGAAAGCTTCAACACCGACTGCACACCCGTTCCAATCTCCGTGCTGTTTCTTAACTTTCTTAATGACGTCTTCAGGCGTAAGGGTAGGTGATTATATTTATGCCTTTGCATATAATTGATTTTCTGGTCGAGTTCGAGGAAGGTATAGGTAGATGTAGATTGAGATTATATGTCCTACATGTTCTGTGATATAACTGGGGATTATCTAAGTTTTCGCGATTTTTGAAGACAAAGCACAAGCTTTCTAGTACTAGTAAAAAAATGTTGTGAGTGTTCCCTGAAAGACGATATACATTTGAATAATAGTTGAAGTTTTATTTAAAGTGTTTTGTTATATTGAAAGTGAAATATAGATGAGTTTGATTATTGTTCAGTGTAGTCAATTATTGGTAAACCCGCGGGGAAAAACGTAACAGTATATTTACATGTTTCTTTACGTATTTATTATTATTCTTAGTCTTTCAAATTTGCATACACAGTTCAAATTGTGTACTAACCTTTTTCTTGAATATGTCCGTCCACCTTGGATGATCTGTTCGGTCTGTTTAAAATCTGTTTTTCCGTTAATCAGCTGTCGCCCCCATACGAACGAAAACTCTCAGAAGTTATTGCATATCGAAACTACGTTATCGATATGCAATAATTAAGGATTAAACAACTTACCTGAAGGAAGTTCGTTCCAAATTATACGAGGTTGGTCACATCCGAATAGATCACCTTATAGTAATACCTCTAAAACTGATATGCGCAAGTTGAAAAAGTGAATCACCGTCCCCGTCCCACGATAACACTCAAATATGCTTCAATATACCTTGCGTCTTTTGGGGTTGGGGGACACAAAACACTGTTGTGTTTTTTGTCTGGGCGGGTGTCTATTCGGATGTGTCCAACCTCGTATAATTTGCTTTGAACTTCATTCAGGTAAGTCGTTTAATCCTTAATTATACTTCGGTTGGTTCCATTCAAATAGATCACCCTGTAGCTGTAGATGTTTAAAGACTCATAAAAGGCGATCAACATGTATTCTGACTGACTTATAATAATGAACGGTAGTAGGTATAGCTAGGCCCTTTATTCTCAGTATGAATTTTAAATATCAAACAACCATGTTTAGCAAATAATTTCTCTATTGTAACAATTCACAAAAATAACGTGGTTTTTTCACAACCTTCACCTATTAATTATAATTTTGAATATAATCTGCAAAGGTGTCTTTTTTGATTATCCGTTTGTTGTGAAATCTACAAAAAGTGTTTGGTTTTTCGGACCAACCGGCATTTTTCTTATGGTGTCTATACTCGTACCTACTTGATACGTCGCAGAACTGGCAGCATGCCGCGTGTTGTGACCTTTGAATTTATCGATATCAACATCACCAAGCTTCAGGCCTTTTTCCAGCCAACGGCTTAACGTTTGGGTTGAAGCTGGGTGGTAAGGTTTTTAATGAGTTGCAATTAGAAAATTTTCCTTTTTTCTAATTGATCTAGTGCAGTGTATATATTTAATGATGGTGATTTTTCCTTGAAATATTGAAAGGTCATTCGTGGTTGTTGCCTTCTTGGTCCTGAGGTTTTAATTATGTCAACAATTTTTATAGACTCATTGTTGATGATGACTCCAGGAATGTACTCGTAGTAGTAGGAGAATGAATACTCAAGATAAGTATTAGTGTAGAAGACATCACAGTGAAAGGACTGGTCATGAGGGGATGTCCACAGGGAGGGGACTTATCACCCCTTCTCTGGAACATAGTTCAGGATACCCAAATTGATCACCTCAACAAAAATGGATTCTACACAATTGCGTATGCAGACGATAGAGCGCAGGATGGGCTCAAATTAATAGAATGGTGTACTGTCGATCAATCCCAAGAAGACTGAGATGGTCCTTTTCACCAGGAAAAGAAGTTTAACGGGCTTAAAACCTCCCGAAATCTTCAAAAGCAAACTAAACTTCTCTGAAGAGGTAAAATACCTTGGTACTATCCTCGACAGGAAGCTAACATGGAACTCTCATCTACAGAGTAGAGCAATATGTGGCTTATGAGCAATGTCGGAGGACAGTGGGACGCTCATGGGGTCTTTCACCCTTTGTGGTCACCTGGATCTACACTGCAATAATAAGACGGAACCATTGCATGGGAACCGAAAGTTCTACAAGCAACGGTCATCCAAAAATTATATCAAATACAGCGACTGGCTTGTTTAAACATCACAGGAGCCATGAGAACAACACCAACCGCGGCAATGGAATTAATTACAGGTCTGACTCCTCTGGACCTGTACGTTAAGAAGGTTGCGTTTAAGTCCATGGTACGATTGCGCACGACTGGTGTAAACCTCGAAGTAGGAATGGGTCAGTTCAGACTGGGTATAAGGCGGGAAGCGCTTACTGCGCAACCTCTGCTGCAGGCAACCAGTGATGCAATTGAACATGGGGATTGTGTTTAATAAACCCTACAAAATACAAATTAAGAAGAACACAGAGTCAGATGCTACAAATGCAATACGCATATATACAGACGGCTCAAAAACCAAAGAAGGCTCAGGATGTGGAGTGTACTCCAGATCACTAAGCCTAAGGATTAAGGGGGAAATGGAAAGAAATACCAGCGTGGTCCAAACAAAACTGACTGGTATCTCAATCGCCACAAAAAATATAACCAGGAAAGGAATTTCTGGCAAAAACATAACAACCTGCAATAACAGCAGACAAGCCCTATTAGCCTTGAACAGACAACGTATAACCTCGGGGCTAGTACAAGAGTGTCACCAAGATTTAGCCAAAGCTTTGGTAGATATTAACATTATCCTGAGGTGGGTTAAAGGACACGACAGGAGTATTTTGCGTTTATAGAGTCACACCTGAGATATGGGATCTGCTACTGGGGCAATTCCGACAAAGCATCTTTCAATATGATATTTAAGCTACAAAAAAGAGCTGTCCGGTATGTTTGTAGGGCTGGCTTTAGAGATTCATGTCGTCCACTATTCAAATCACATAGAATAATGACCCTTACCTGCATATTTATACTAGAGACGGTGTGTTTGATGTTTAAAAAACATAAGTTAAATAGAAACACCATAAAAAACCCTAGTTACCTGACTAGACAGATGGGTAATTTGGATCTTCCTAAGCCCAACACTACACAAGTTAAAAATTTCTCATCCGAAACGGCTCTACCGATTTTTACTAAATTTTATATACATATTCAGTAGGTCTGAGAATCGTCTACTATCTATTTTTTATACCCCTAAGTGATAAGAGTTGTTCACGCTCAACATTTTTTTTAAATTTTTGGACAAAATCTTTTGTTCTTTTCTTTTATCATGTGGCATTGAAAAATACGTACAACCCTAAATATTTACCCTTTCATCACCAACCCCTATTTTTTAATAGCCATTTTAGTAATTTCATCAATTTTCATCCCGCTCGATAACTGATCGATTATCGTCTTTTTCGTAAATGTTTTTCACTCTATTTCGATCAAAATTTTCCTGAGCTTATGGCAAATCTGAGATTTTTTCAAAAAATAAACATTTATTTTCATTATTTTCCATCAGGAAAATAGTACATACTTAGTACATACTTAGTATTAGATTTTTAAAATTTTCCACGGTTTTACTGGTGAGTGATACTCATTTGCCACACTATACCGGTGTCACTACTCAGTAAACAGCACGGAGTAGTGATGAGAACGAAACCTGTCTCCACATTCTCTCACACATTAAGACTTCTCTCATAATTTCAAAAATTCAAACTAATCATTTCAAAACTGCGGTCCTAATTATAACTATAACGTTTTTCATCATTAATTAATTTCATTAATTCTATTTATGTGTGTTTTGTACAGTGAGCAATGCCAAGAAAACGCAAAGGGGCTGATTTGAGCCGTAATACAAGTAGATCTAGAATCATGAAAAATAGAAGATCCCAAAGAACCGAAGAAGAAATCCATCAACAAAATACTGATGCACGTGTGAGCGTGGCGCGATTGCGTCAAGAACAATCAGAAGATTCACGAGCTGAACGCAATGAAGTAATAAGATTAGATCAACGAGAATCACGCCGTTTCACAGTCAATAGACGCAGAACAAATGACCAACAACGCCAACAGGTACATTGAGAATTTACATCTGATTCATTCCTGCGGCTAGCATTTCAGTATGAGCCCGATATTGAATATTATGCTCATTCAAAAGTAGTTATTGGTGCTATGGACAAGGAATGTCCGCATTGCCATGCATTCAAATTAAAAAATGAGCCAGCTGGGATGTGTTGCGCGTCAGGAAAAGTGCAACTACCTGGAATTGAAACACCACCTGAACCATTGAACGGCTTACTTATCGGCACGGGTCCAGATTCTAACGTGTTCCTGCAGTCAATTCGAACATTCAATTCATGCTTTCAAATGACATCGTTCGGAGCAACATAAATAGTTCGAAATACTAATGCAAATGGTCAACAATACAATTCTACATTCAAAATCAGAGGCCAAGTTTATCATAAAATATGCTCATTGGTGCCCATGCCAAACGAACCACATAAATTTTTACAAATCTAATTCATGGGTGGCGAGGATTCCGGAAGCGCACTTGCCAATCGCGTGAAGGCACGTTGTGACTATAATAACCTTGATTCATTTTTTGCCAGGCGCATCATCAGAGAGCTGGACGCTCTTTTGAACGAGCATAATGAATTGTTGAAAATATTCAAATCACACATGCACAAATTACAAAGCGATAATCACGCTATTGTCATTAATCCTGATAAAACACCAGCTGGAGAGCATATTCGTAGATTCAATGCACCTGTTGTTGATGACGTTGCTGGAATCATGGTTGGCGATCATACAAATGCACGAGAAATTGTGATTCGTAGAAGAAATACTAATCTTCAGTTCATTGCTGATACACATCGTTCATATGACGCTCTCCAATATCCGCTAATATTCTGGAAGGGACAAGACGGATATTGCATAAACATAAAAACAACGAGATCCCGTATCAGGTAC